CAGCAGTTTAAGGGTAACAGTATAGCCTCATATTGTAACTTCCTAAAGCTCTAACAGAGGCGTAACATTTTCTTAATCATAAAAAAAAACAACTGTTTTTTGATCTTAAATGTGCTTATCACTTATTCCATATACCTCTCTCCGTCACAGGGAGAGTAAAATGGATGACTCTTCAAAAATGTGTGGTCACATGACCAATTTTGTCCACGGTTGCCGAGAAACAAGGGGTGGCTCAACTTCCCCGCAGGCTCAGATCACCCCGTTCTCCCTATTCTGGTCTGTTCCATTTGTATTTTGTTTAATTTGATCTCATTTTATTGTATCTCAGTTGGTTTAATTCAGTTTTTATTGCTTATTGTTTTTAAATGTCACGCTTTTCTCTCCTCATCTAAAAGACTTTGAATTGCCTCTGTGTTTGAAATGTGCTGCCTTGCTTAGATACTGAATTATTTTTCTGATATGAAGTATCAGTGTACTTTTTTTGGTGTAGTTGAGGCCCGGTGCTGCACTGTGGATGTGTAAATGAAGCTGCTTTATTAAGTCATCGGTCACGTGGTTCTCTTCATTTGATACAAAGGATGTGATTGGTTACTGTCTTGATTAATTATGCCAACGTCAGTGAGTTATTGTATAAAAATAAAACACAGCAGGGGTCTCACATGTCGTGAGAATAAGTCTTGGAAATAGCTTGATATTTTAGTAATCTTTCCACACAAAAACTGCAGGTAATATTTGTACATGTCACAGCCTGTTAACTCAGACTACAGCCCAGATAAACAGAATGTGCTGATGCATGATAGGCTACTGTAGACTGCCTTGAAATCAAACCCCGACAAATGAATCACACACAGAGATTGTGCAGTTTAACTTTCTTTTAAAACATTATCTTGTTCACCTGGCATCACATTCACAATGCCAAAACAGCTCAATGTTTCGCAACCAGAGACACAACAGAGAGAAAAGATTATATTAAATCTCTTTTTTCTATCAGTAGTTTATCTAGGTTTTGTCTCAGGTGTTTGTGTCTTTAGTATAAAGATCTGTTGTTTCACATTATATTTGATGTCTGATGATGGGCTGTGGCTGAAACCTTGTGTTTTTAATAAAGTGCTGCTGACAGTCTTTCTGCCTTTTCTTTCACAAGTTCACAGTTCACAGGGTCTGTTGCAGCAACGTCACGCTAATAAAGAAATACTGAAACCCAGGCTACTGCAGCTACTGATTATTTTCATTCTGGATCAATCTGCAGATTATTTTCTCCATAAATGAAGTGATTGTTTAACTAAATGCAGACGAAGCAGCAGGATGAGTTGCATAATAATAGTACTTTTATTTGTAAAACACTTTAAGAAGAGCTTACGCACAGGTTGAGGGTTCAGGCAGGTACAGGTAACAGGCAGGTACAGGCAGGTACAGAGAGCAGGCCAGTTCCTGTTTCAATGTGAAGAAGAACAGAACAGATGAATTCAGAGGATGAAGGTGGTCGGCCGTGCTGCCTGTCTCGTGGTCTGGAACTTTCTCTGGATGTTAGCTTCTGCAGAAAAAGGTGAGTGAAGTGTTTGTTTTAAAGATACAGACATGCGACTGAGGTAAGAGCACCCGGAGCCTTAATACCGCGTTAGAGAAGAAATAAATATACTGAACAAGCCATGAAAGAGGAGCTGAGGGGCGTGCAAAACAAAACTACTGCATGTACTCATTAAAGGAAAAATAATCTTTGGGCCCCTTTTTGGATAAAGTAAAGTCTTATCTCTCAGAAAAATGAGCCATGCTCTCTTAGGCTATCTTTTTTTTTTAACATGCATGTATGTATGTTTCGTCAGCCCTGTTCCAGACATATCAATTACTGTTTGAAAAGGTTTTAAATTTAGAACAAAGCTAATATACTATGAAAGATAACATCCCCTTTGTTACCCTAAGAATTTTGACCAGTTTACTTTTTTCTATGGATGAACATGTTCATTTAAAATTTACACTTCAATTGGCAAAATCTTCTGTTTAAGAAAAAGTTATGCAAATAAAATCATAATAACCCAATTTTCTTTTACTTAGTATATAAAATTAGTTGATTTTACATTTTTATTTTTAGAATTATATTTGAATATTATACAAGTAATATTATATTATACAGGGCTGACACCTCAGTAACATGTTTGACAACATTTATCATATTGGTTATACTGTCTGTTATAGTGTAATGGAGTTATGATGGGACATTCATAAACCTTTAACTGAAAATGACTAATCACAATATTTTGGAGACTCATTGAGTCAGAGGGATTTTGAGAGGTTTTAGCATAAAAGATGATGCTGTGGTTGTAAATAACATTACAGTTAAATGATCTATTGAACATTGTTTGGCTTGTGTGTAAATGAAAATACACTTTACTTACCCAAGAAGGGTAACTAACTTGATTGGGGTAGCTGGACTTGGTTGAAAATACTTGAAGATGTTTCGCCTCTTATCCAAGGGGCTTCTCCGGCTCTAAAGGAGTGGTGGGGAGTCCCCAAGGGGGGTACAGGAGAGTTCGAACAGTGAACAACTGACCCTATGTATCATCGTGTAAGTGAAAAAAGCCTTAATTTATTGTTTCCTAACTTGGAAGTAAAGATGTTGTCTGTACCTGATGTGTTGCAGATGCTGAGGTGTTCTGTGTTTTTATGGAGAGCTGCATCTTACCGTGCAGCTTCCAGGGCGGCACTGATGTAGTCATCCACTGGTATCATGTGACAGCAGCTGGAGACATTCCTGTCCACTCCTACTACCACAACCAAGACCAGCTGGGACACCAGGACCAGCACTTCAGAGGCAGGACATCACTGTTCAAGGACCAGATCTCTGGAGGAAACGCCTCGCTCCAGCTGACTGGGGTCCAGGTTCAGGACCAGTGCACATACATGTGCTTCACCAGCATCATCAGAGGCAACAAGGAGTCATTTATCAACCTACAAGTGGACGGTACGAGAAACACACAGTAGATACACAAAACCATCAACTTGTGTTTTCTTCATGTGCAGTTAATATTTAATTTCAGCATTTGTTCTGCCAAATTTGTGAATTAAAAGTAAATCTTTTTCCTAAAACTATTAGTGAATTCATTTGTACATACAGCATCAAGATCTCTGTTTTTGCAGCTCCGGTCCATAAAGTCGACATGGAGCAGGAAGAAAACAGGATCACCTGCAGCTCAGAGGGGATCTACCCTGAGCCTGAACTCACCTGGTCCACCAGACCTCCGTCCAACGTGACCTTCAAGAACACAACCAGAGTCCAGCAGACTGAACAGCAGCTCTACAACATCAACAGCTCTCTGATACTTTCAGACAGGGTTACTGATCTGGTCTACAGCTGCACCGTCAGCACTCGCAGGAACAGGAGGAGAGTCACTTTGAGGGAACTGAGTGAGTATTACTATTTGATGAACCGTACCAGATTAAACCTTTATGCTAATTCCCCTCTGTAGTCCCTTGGCAGGTCAAATAAAAAAAAACAGCACATTGTTATTACGTCTAATCAACTAAATCAATATACCTGGTTGATATCAGCACTTAATTGACCCTTCGCTAAGCCACGCCGCGAATACGCAGCTGGCCAATCACAGCACAGGATAGGTTTTGCTCTAACAGAGGTCTGACACTTTCATGGTCAAAAGCTGTAAATCACTACCCAGAGAGGCTGCGGATTGTTCCTAATGTGATGTTAGTTAGCTAACGCAAGCTAACTTCCTCCTGAATGTAACGTTATAAAGCCCTACTGTTCTGCTTTTTAATGATTGTAATAGTGAACAGAGACCTACCCAAGAAGACCCAGGACTAGGTGGAGAGATTATATCTCCACACTGGCCTGGGAACGCCTCGGGATCCCCCAGTCAGAGCTGGTTAATGTGGCTCGGGAAAGTGAAGTTTGGGGTCCCCTGCTGGAGCTGCTGCCCCCGCGATGAAGATGGATGGATGGTTTAAGGACGTCTGGTTTTACAACACCAGAAATCACTTGCCACTTTTCCACAAAGTAACTTTCCAAACACTACACTGAAATGTGTTATGTTTTCAGATATAACTTACAAACGGAAAGCAAACAGGACCAACTTAATTCTGTTATTTAGCAAACAAATACCCCACTGCCCATCTTATCTGACAGTATCTCAGTTTGTGTTTCTACATCATTTGATTAACAGGTGTTTGATTTGTTTTGTGTTGTATATTTTCAGCTTCTCTCGGTGGTTCCAGCTCTGACACAACAATCCCCTGCTCTGCCTCAAACACTTCCCTTCTGAACTTCAGCCTCGTCTGGAGATTCAACCACAGTCAGATCATCCTGAACCGGACCAGGACCAGCGTCCCTTACACAGTCTCAGAGGAGTGGAGGCAGCAGGTGAAGGGTGTGTCTGAGTCAGGCAGCCTCACACTACAAGACTTGTCTTTGAAACAGGAGGGGATATACACCTGTGAACTCAGCGATGACGAGGAGACAAACATAACCCACATCCTGCTGAGGATAGAGGAAGGTAAGATAACTTGCTTGTTTAATAGTGGAACTGCTTCAAACATCAGAATGATCATCTAAAGCAGAGAAAACATATCTGCTCTGTGAGATGGAAAAGTGAACACAGTTAATAACGCTCTAAAAGTTCTTCAAACTAACACTGAAGGTGTGATTCCCACCTGGCAACATGAACATTATTGAGCATTATTAACAGACTGCAACCTCACGTGTTGATGCTACAGGAATTATCAGTCAGTCCACTCGTGGAAGTTTGGTTAGTAGAAATTTCAATAAACTGAATCTTTTTCTGTTTCAGGGAGTCAAACCGGTGTCACACGTGTTATTGTAGGTGTGGCGGTTGGAGCCATTTTGTTTGTAGTTCTAGCAGCAGTCCTTGTTGTAGGCCTATTGTACTGCAAATGTAAAAAGGTAAGAAAAGACATTCTGCCTTCACTTGATAATTATTTGTGTATGTTGTTTGTACTGATGATGATGATGATGATGATGTGTGTTGGACAGAGAGAGGAAGAATGGCAGACAGGGTAGTATGAACCGTATCGAAGTAAGTATATCATCTGTCCTGAATTTCATAATAAGTTGACATTTAAATCATTTTGCACTGCATGACAAGCTGTAATTTATCTAATTAATCAGTAATTATTAAAATAAACCTTTAAGTTATAAAGTAACTGCTGTCTCTAATAAAATGTCGACCTAAATAAGACAATAGCAGAGTGTAACATCATGTACAACTAATAGACATAGATCAATTCTGGTAAACAGAAAATCTAACCAAATCAAATGAAGGCTTTGTGTTTGCTGCATTACTTAATTTTTTGAATTTCACTTTGAGGTATTTGACCACTTAATTCCATTCAGTTGTTTGCAGAAAGTCAACTTGTAGAAATATGATGGAAGAAGCAAACGTCTGACTCGATAATGAACAACTGAGTAACTTCAAGATCCACCAACCAACTGCTGCAGTGAAATCAAGGAAATGGTGCAGAAGGATGGGAGCTGTTGCTCGTCTCTACAGCACATCCGTGGCCCTATTTTACTGCCTATAAATTATTCTGCTGTATACTATGTCCTGTGCAATTATTGGTGTATTTCTACACCATGCTAAAAAGGTTTTATATTTATTCCTATTTTTCTTTTTTATTTAATGTGTATTATGTGTGTATTTATTTAATGTTCTTATTTAAGCTACCCGGTGCAAGATCAATATAGTCTAATCTATCACAAGCATGACTGCATGTGAGCAAATCTTCCATTGAGAAATTAATGAGAGATGGACAAGAAGTGAAATCTACGCAAATCAAAAAGAAATCGTGTTTTCAGATGAGACAAAAGTCACTAGAACCTCTGAAGGTGGTTCTGGGATATCAGAGGTCTTTGTCAATTGCTAAGTGGTTATCCAACGGAGGTTGAGGGCAAGTGGACTTGGTTGAAGAAACTAGAAGAAGACTTTTCGTCCCTCATCCAAGAGACTTCTTCAGTTCAGACTGACTGGCTATTTAACCTCTGTGGGATCGTTAGCTAAGATCGTCTATACCACTGGTTCATTAGTGCTCCTGGCTGTGGCAACGACCGTCGTCATGGTCGTTAGAGCCACCCGTGGCCGAGTCTGAACGACCATCTTTGGCATCTTCACCTGAAGCCAAGAGGAAAGGCTTGTTTAGTTTCCAGGAAGTGATGAAAGGACCGCATTGTAATTGGGGGATAAGTGTTGGCGTAGACCCCCTCCTCTGTTCGGTGACGGCTTCTCGACCCTCTCTCCTCGTCCCCTGTAATGTTGGTCTTCTTCCTGTCCTTTCATCACTTCCCAGGATACTGAACAAGCATTTCCTCTTGGCCTCAGGTGAAAATGCCAATGACGGTCATTCATTGGCTCTAACGGCCATAACGACTGTCGTTACCACAGCAGAAGCCCTAACGAACCAGCGGTATCGACAATCCTAGCTAACGATCCTACAGCCAGTCAGAACTGAAGAAGTCTCTCGGATGAGGGACCAAACGTCTTCTTCTAGTTTCTTCTACAAAGTCCAGTTGCCCTTGAACTCAACCTTCGTTGGATAACTATGACCTGGATGACTGAGAACATTCACGGACATCTTGCTAAGTGGTTGTGACCAGGTGGCTGTTTATATAAAATCAAAACGTGTAAGCTCAGTAAAAGTTAATTTCATGTAAGAGCTGTTTTATTGGGTTGACATCTTCAGTGCAGTATGTGGTTGCAATGGATTGAACAGCCTGTATTGAATAAAGCAGGCACTGAGTGTAGCTGCTGATTATTCCTCAAAGGTAAGCTTGTGTTTTTGTTGAGATATTTGAGGATGTAAAAATGAAACGTTTTCTTCAGACTTTGTGATTTTTGACTTTTGAATGTGTAAAAAATTTTGCTGTGTTGATGCAACATAAATATAATATATAATGAAAACTTTTTTTTTTAACTATCCCACTTTTGTAAAGTCTAAACTGACAGATTCCGTTTTATATTTAGACTCCATGAAATAATGCTTTGTTGTGGTATTTATGAACTGATGCACAGCAGATGGAACGTGGTATTCCATAAAGAAAGGGCCTGCGCACACTAAACACTATTAAAACAAATTTTAACCTGTACTTTGAGTCAGCTCATTTATTAACCAAGAATTTTCATACTTACTTTGTCAAATGTTTTTTTTTTTTTTTATACTTTTGAGTTATTTTTTTATATGGAAGAAATTTTACTTTTCCTTGAGTAAAGATGTTTAGTTCTCTACCCACAACAGTAGGCCCGCCTGCGCTGACATGAGCAGCAGAGGTCAAAAGCAAAACAGAGTCAAAGCCAGCACAGACCCAGGTTCAAGCGCCAGAGACATGGGATGAGATTGATCATATTTGCTGTACCCAGTGGCTCAGCTGAAGTGATAACCTTACAGGAGAAGAGGATAGATAGGTGTTTCTAGTTTTCAAAATGTATTTTAATGCCTCATTTCCTTAAGTACTGTATAAAATTCCCAAGAATGCAGAAGTAAAGGCATCTCAAGATCACATCTGCGTGCATGCAAGTCTCAATGGGACTTTCCTGTAAAAAAAAAAAAAAGTAAAAGTGGGACAAGACAAAACATAGCAATATCACTTTCTAGTTCAAAAGAAAGACCGCCAGCTTGTTATTGGTCCTGCAAACTTTTATTTCACCAGCTCTCACAAACATCCGCTGGCCTCTTGCTTGGTCACACTACTTATCTTTGTAGATTTGATTAGATTTATTTTCCAGCTGCACAGGTACAAATCTTTACTGGCATCTGAGTCAGTTTTTGATGAGGTAAGTTGAGGCGTGTGGTATTTCATTCCAATGTTCTTATCTTTTGCAAGCATTCTTAAAGTGGTTGGATAACACTGTTACGGAAGCGTGTCTTATGAGTGATGATTGCTCTCCGGCCTGTGGTGTCTCGAGTACTTCCGCATGAACAAATAGTGAGCTGGGTGCTGTTGATCCCTGAGAAGGCTCTGTGCTTCTTATCCTGCAGAGTTTGTCGACAGAGGGGAGGTTTGAGCCCATAAGCCTCTCTGATTGAAGAGATTCCCTCTCAGCTTGCGTGGTGTTACCTGACCACACTGCAAGCAACTAGGTGTCTTGCTCAGGGACACATTGGTGGGTGTGTCACAGTGGGAATCAAGTCTCTCACATCAAAATGTATGTGTCTTAGCCACTGTGACATCACCACAGACAATAAAACTGTCCGCACCTTAAATATATTCCACTTCCCCAGAACATGAGTGAGATATTACCTCAGTGTCGATATACTAGGATTTTTTGATGAAGTTGCTGTTCCTCCCCCTCTGGTTTTGCCGCATTCATTTTACATTTTATTCATTTAGCTGATGCTTTTATCCTTACAATTGCTATATATGTCAGGGGTCGCACGCCTCTGGAGCAACTAGGGGTTAAGTGTCTCGCTCAGGGACACATTGGTGTCTCACCTGGGTCTCTCACACCAAAGGCATGTGTCTTATCCACTGTTCCATCACCACCCCATTCCACAGCATCGTGGTCGCCTCTGAAAACCCTGTATCTTGCCAGTGTTATGGCTTCATGGGGGGTCTTCTATGCGAGCCACGTTTCATAGAAACACAGCACAACAATCCTGACTAGCCATCTGGCTGAGGAGGTTGTTTATCTTATTGGCACTGACATTGGCAGAAGGCATGGCCTGCTAACCAGGCACTGGAGTCTCACACATTTCCCAGGTGACCCAGTTCACCTAGTTGCATTAAAGTCACCCAATCATTCTTAGCTTGAGCATTTACACTGCTCATGAAAGGGAAGCAAACACAGCAGTAAATAAAGTACTAAATGAAGCCTGACTCGGAGATCTCTGCGACGTCGCACACATTCTTGGACTTCCAACTTCTTAGCTTTCTCCGTCAATGTCCTCTTCGGCTCTGCTCTTGCTTGAAACTTGCTTTGGTAGCTAGCTAGCCAACAAAACTGCACCGAAAGAAGGCCAGTTCGGCAAGAGCTGAAAAGATGTCCTGTTAATGATATCTGCATTAGCTCACGTCAAACCATTCACCCTTTTACAAGTCAGCGGACCATAACAAAATGAGTTTGATGCTGTTATTATAAGATACAAATACCACAAAATGTTTTGCTTTATATGATCTTTTCAGTTTCTGCTGTTTTATCAATCACCAAAACTTTGTACAATCCTTAAAAAACATCCCTCAAAAGTGTGCGTTCTGTTTCTGTGCCGCCATCTAGAATCAGTCAAGAGATCTCTGCAGCTTTCTTAAGTTTAACAGCAATTTGAAAGATTTTTACTTTTATCTCACGTCAAACTGTCACTTTTAACAGGTTAAGTACGTGCCCTCCGCAGTGTAAGTACATGCCCCAATGCTTTGATTGTGATAATCAGGAGGGAAGTTTCTCTTAAAGAGGATGACTCACAGCGTGCAGATAGGTACAGCATAACAGGCATGCAGGTTCAGGCTCACAATCAACAAAACACAACACAGAAACTGTGAAGGAAACAAAGGGCCAGTACATGAACAGGTGTGAAGATGGGCGGGGCAGTCAAGGAAAGATGGGGAACAATCTTTTTTTTGTCAGTGCACCAACTGATTAATTGACTCATCATTTCAGCTGCACTTGTATAAACTGTTTATAACAAAACATCATATTTTATAAACTCTTCGTATGTTCTGTTAGTAAAAATCTTAATTTAAAAATTTTGAAATTTGTAAAGTAACTGCAGCTGTCAGATAAATGTAGTGAAGTAAAGGGTTAACTAAAAGAAATTCAGTTAACTTATCTCCCCATTAAACTCCACCTGCAGAGAGTTGAATCACTCTGGCTGAAGGACTCCTGAGCACCACAGAGGAAGAGTTTACTGGAAAATGCTGTGGGCGGCGTACAGGGGGGGAAAGTTAGGGCCCCAAGGGCCCCTGACTGAAAAAAAGTAAAGACAGTCCGCAGATACTACTTCTATCTGAACCTTTTGCTGTGATTTAATTGCAATAACGGATCAAACTGATGCCGAAATAACTACAATATGATGCTGTTTTGTTAAACGTGTGAATTCATGCTTTGTCAGGTCTGTCAGCAGGATGTCAACTTTTAAAATGTTTGTTTTCTGAATGGAGTTCGGATCCATCAGGATTGTGCTATGCTAACCTGTTCAGTAAAGTACAATGACAGCACGTTTTCTGAACTCACCAGTTAGTTCAACTTCCTCGCTTTCTTTTTTCCAAGTAATGTCCAGCTTTGTCCGGTTTTTACATAAATTTGAAGTAGTAGTCCAGCAGAACTCCGGTGCCATCTGACGCTAACAACAGCCCAGTCTCCCCATAAAGAAGGTGAGCAGCATGGTGTTAATGTCATGTCAGGTAGTCTGTGGAGATTTCTCTGTCTCTCTTGCACTTTTATCATAACAAAAAAGAAAACGAATATTTATTATTATTAACAGAAATGATTTTCTAACATAATGATCATTATGAAATAAATAAAAACTCCTGTCTGTACTGGATGCTGGACAGTTGGAAACACTAGCTTACCTCAGCCCGCATGTAAGTTACAGACAATATTTAAATAATCCAGTTTGATACGTTCATTTAGATTTAGTTATGGCCGTTAAATCTGTACATAGGTGTCAATGTAAAGAGAATTTATCTCTTTTTAGATTGCCTTAAGGACATTGTTTCTGGTAGCTTTTAATCTTGCATCAAATAATGAACTGCATCCTGTATGCAGACTTCCATGAACAAATCACCAGCAGTAAATATTGTGCTACTATTGAACTACAAGAAGCAAGACAGTTGCAAACCTTTAATTAGAGTTATATAAAGCAATACCACACTGTGAAAATAATACTTTACTTGTAAAAGTTCTGCATTCAAACTATACTTACCACAAAATACCTAAATATAGTAACAACGTAAAAGTACTCATTCTGCAGAATTCCCATTTCATAATTTATACAATTGGATGATAATTAATGATGCATGAATGTGTAAGCATCACACAACTGGTAAAGATGCTAATGAACTACTTTCATAAAACCGCTGGCAGCTTAATCTATAAAATGATGCCATATTTCATCAATCAATCTTTATTTATATAGCACTTTCATACAAATACATGTAACACAAAGTGCTTCACACTATAGAACCATTTAAAATAGTTAAAATACTAAAAAATGAAATAAAAAGCAGGTCAAGCCCAACAATCCCTGCCCCACCCAAAATACAGCTCAGTTAAAAGCTTGGTTAAATAGTCATGTTGTTATGGGATTGCGTGGTGTGTGGAGACAGAGAGGACCCAAATGCAGCACTCTGAGGAAAGGAGGTTTATTGAGGGAAAAAGGGTGAGAGGGACTAGAGTGGAGGGAGAGGAGGACGTCGGGGAAACACAGGCACGGGGAACCAAGGAGACAGGGGGCCAGGGAGCCGGGGAACACAGGGGCTGAGGAAGCGAGGAGAGGCGGGGGAACAGGGAGGACGCCGTGAGGGAAGCCCAAAGAGGAGTGGGCCAGTGGATGAGCCCAGCCGAACAGAGGACGAGGGTGAGTGAAACAGACAGAGAGACAGGGTTAGACAGCGACAAGGCACAGGGTAAATGTGAAAAAACAAGAAACATGAAAGCCTGAACGTGGGGATGGCACCAGGTATGGAGCAACGACGATCAAGCGAGGATGGTGTGGAGAACCGGGGTTGAAATACAGGCAATCATGAGGACACTCACCGTCAGCCGGGCTGCCACCACAACACATGTCTTTAGTTTGCCTTTAAACAAGTCCAGATTTCCTGCTGCTCTCAGCTCAACAAGAAGGGAGTTCCACAAACGTGGGCCATAACCCTAAAAGGATGCCTCACCATAGGTTTTAGTTTAAGCTTTAGGAATAATCAGAAAGCCACTATCAGAGGACCTGAGGGTTCTAGTAGGTTCATAAGGTAAAAGCAAATCTGCTATGTATTCTGGACCAATACCATTAAATGACTTGAAAAGTAGTAAAAGGATTTTAAAATCAATTCTAAACTTAACTGGAAGCCAATGCAGAGACTTTAGGATAGGGGTAATGTGTGTTCTCTTTCTGGTCTTAGTCAAAAGACGTGCAGCAGCGTTTTGAACCAGCTGCAGT